TGCGGGTGCGCGTCGGGGTGCACACCGGGCTGTGCGACATCCGGCGCGACGAGGTGACGAAGGGGTACGACTACTACGGCGACACGGCGAACGTGGCGGCGCGCACGGAGGCCGTGGGGAACGGCGGGCAGGTGCTGCTGACGCGTGCGGCGTACATGGCGCTGGGCACGACCGAGCGGGAGCAGTTGGAGGTGACGGCGCTGGGCGCGGTGGCGCTGCGCGGGGTGCCGAGGCCGGTGGAGATGTACCAGCTGGACGCCGTCCCCGGGCGCACCTTCGCCGCGCTGCGGCTGGACCGCGAGGTGGCGGATCTTGAGGTGGATGGCGAGGATACGCCAAGCAGCGGCGAAGAGACCTCCGCGTCCACTGCTCAAAATGGCCCCGCGCAAGCCATTTTGTCCGTGATGGATGTGATGTTTGGTATTTTTGCGACCCCGCGGCGGCTGAAGGTGCTGCGTCCTATCTGCGAGCGTTGGAGGGTCGACGCGCCGCGTGGGGCCGAAGCCGCACGTGAGGAGGAGGCCTGCCGCGTGGCGATGGAACGGCTGGCAGAAAAAATGGGGCGCGTGATGCAGAAACGTGCCAGTAAAACTTCAGTTGAAGGCGAATCGCGTAAAACAACTGTGCCGCTCTTGTCCTTCTCCCACAGCCTCCATGGACTTCAATTACTAAACTCAGCTTTCGAGGGAAGCGGGCGGCACGGCCGGCGCCACTCACGCGTCACCCTCAGCCGAGCGTCATCAGCCGCAGCACAGACAGTTTCCTGGGAAAGGGAGGAACCAGATAACACCATCCACGCACCTCGCCCCGCGTAACTGCGGGCCGCCCCGACTGTGGGGCCGCGGGCGGCGACGGCCCGGGTGTCTCCCGTCCTTTAATCGAGTTATTTTTCGCGCGGGCTCATCATGCGCCGCTCCCTCTTTATGTGTTTGTTTATCGCAGAGTGATGCGAGGGTCGCGCGCCCAGGCGAGGCCACATGAACCAGAGGACGAATTCTTTTTTATATACAGTTGATCCCGCGCGCGCCGTCTGCCCTGTTCCGCTTCGACGGCGCCCACCACGAGGCGGGCCCGGCGGTCGTGGGGCGCCGCCCCGCCCGTTCCCGACACGCGCGCTCACAACAAACCGCCCGGGCGCGCCAATTGTTTCTTTTTGTGCTTTCTTTTTTTTTTGCGTTGCAAACAAAGTTCGTGGGGGTTCGAACTTCGGGCCCCATGCGCCGGGGTGTTTTCATTGTTTCTCCTTTTTCCCCTCCCGGGGGCGGCGGGGCGTGGGCGGTGGGCCCCACCGTGGGGGCGTGCGTTCGCGCGCGTGCTTGTTACTGTCGTCGCGCCCGCTGCTTTCCGTAGGCAACAGCGAAGGTTATTCAGATGCAGGGGCGGCTGCGTTTCGCCGGCAGGGCGCCGCCGACGCTCTCCCGCTTCGCGCGGCGGGCGGAAGGAGACGGCGACGAACCCGCGCCGGCAGGTGGAGAGGAAGTCCCCCGCCCAGACCGCCGATGGCGCTGCGGCGGGGAGCGCGCGGCCTCGCCTTCGCCGGCCCGGCGCGCGCTCGCGGGCGCACGCCACAGCAGGTCTCCCGTGGCGGGGCGGAGGGCGAGCGCCGATGGCGCCCGCGTCCTTCGGAGCCCCCCGCCGCCGAGGGTGAGGGGCCGGGCGGTCAGTTCCCGCGGGGCGTCTCCGAGCGGCGCACGGGCGCGGACCGCGGGAAGGAAAAGGGGCACATCGAACCAACGAGGAGGATGTGCAAGGAGTGTTTGTCCCGCCTGCCGGCGCGTGCCTCGCACCCCGGCCCCTCGATCGAGGAGCTGGCGCAGACGGTCTTTTGTGCGGGAGCACGCGGCAAGGCAACCGCGCGCGAAGTAGCTAATAACAGCAAGAAAACTATCGTGTGTGCCGCATAAAAGTGCGAAGAAAAGAGGGAAGCGCGAAGAGGGAAATAAAGGGAGGGAGGCCACGGCGTTTTCGCAAGACAACGGCGAGGTTGGAAGAGCGGCAGTTCCCTTTTCCGCCCCCTGCCCTCGCTGCCTGCGGCGTTCTTGAACTGGGTACCACCGAAAAGAACAACAAACAACAGTGGGGGGTCGTTGACACAAGCCACAGCAAAAAAAAAAGGAGGCGGTTAATACGCTTCCCCTTTCCCGCCATCATCGACAGATGCTCGCTGGCGCGCGTGTGGTTTTGCCAGCCGCCAAGTGGGCATGCCACAGCCACCCCGCAACAGGGGAAAGGGAAGGAAGTGAAGAGTCTACCGAAGCTTTCCTTCTTTTCTCGCTCGCGCCTTCGTCTATACATCAATGCTAGTGGAAAGGTCGTACTCGATAGTCGGCACAACGGACGAAATAAATTTAAGAAAAAGAAAAATGCCATATGAGTGGGGAAAACAAAAGTATCCTTTTCTGAATCGCGGGTCTGGCCCGCTTCATAACGCGTTTTCATGTGCTGAATCAAACGCTTCATCGTCTCGGCATGACGGCAAGGGTGAATGCTGATGCATGCCGTCTTTAGGAAGGGATGAGGGTCAATAGAAACAGTTTTTTCTCTGTTTGCCGCATATACGTCCTGCATCATCTCCTCCTTGCTAAGCAGCGTGGCGTGATCCTCGGCGTAGCCAATAAGAAAGATGCGTGGGGTTTGGTAGTATTGATCATACACCATATACACATCGTACAAGCGACACTTACGCTCCCCGGCGTCCTCTGCATGATCCTCATCCTCGTCATCCTCTTCGTCCCAGTTGACCGTTTTCTCAGGGGCCATGACGACAGGCTTGCCGGGATGGCGCTCAGCGTGCGTGGTCACCCAGCCGTCTTCGCCTTCCAAGTCGTTCTCTTCGAGTTGGTGGACATCCGGGGCTCGCTGATAGCACGGCGCCCCACGGTACACCAGGTACTTTTTCTTTGGTGGAAGAAAGGGCTGAATGCTTTCTTCTCCCTCGGCCCACGCCCACACAGGCATCTTCTGCACCAACTCATCCCCCGCCTCCACAAACTCCAGGGGAGTCAACGTCCCAGTGACCTGAAAATTCGAAACCTTCTTTACCCCATGCAGATGATTGTATAGTTTCTTGAAGTTTTCGTACAAACTCCGCTTGTTCATTTTCGAACGGCAGCCTCGTCCCTGCTGTGAGCACAGACTCCCGCCAAAAAAAAAACCCAAGAAAAGGAGGCAACGAGAGCGGAAAAAAAAGGAGGGTGAGAAAGACACAGCCGCAAGAGAATGGAAAAAACGCATCATTGCACAAGGTCAAGAAAAATAATAATAAAGAAACTCAAAATGCAAGCGGGGTCTCTCGCACGCACACAAACGCAGCCAGTGAAACGGGTGCGGGCACCCAAAACACACAAACACAAGCAAATAAATTAAGTCCCACCCCGTGAAGTGAAGCCTAAGCGTGGGGGGCGTCCAGCGAGCAGTGGGGACGCGCAGCAACACGTGGGACGACCAGCACACACACTCCATCTCTCTCTCTGTTCCCACACAGCCCAATCCAGGAAGAGACAGAAAGAAAGAGAGGTCGCCCACTGAAAGCGATGAAAACAAAACAAACAATAAGAAAAAAACAGCTACGGTGCTGTACCCATGCGGCCAAGCAGGACGGCAGCGGCTCGTCGGGCGCAAAAGAAAAGAAAACCGACGGGCCTGCATGAGTGGAGTTGTGTATAGTTATGAGCACATTATGTGTGTGTGTGCCGCGTGGGGTGCGGCGAGGGCGAGAGAGTCCGTGCAGGGGGAAACGCAGAAAGAAATAGAGGAAGAAGGACGATCTGTGTGCATGCACGGCCCTCTCCCTCCCTCAGTCCCTCACGCAGCCACCATCGCAGCGGCAGCCGCACACGCAAGCAGAAGAAGCAGCGCAAGGGGGGAGGCGGAGTGCGAGGCCGCGGTGCTGCTGCCGTCACTGTCGCCGGGCGCCGCCTTCGTTGCGTTCTTTTTGGTTGTGGTAGTCGCCGCTTGAGCAGCCGCCCCCGCCGCCGGCTGAGTGGCTTCTCCTCCTCTCTCACCACTCTTTTCCGTCTCCTGCTTGGGTGTGGTGACGGCGGGATGCTGCTGTTCTCGCTGCCCAGCCTCGTTTGCCCCCACGGAACTCTCCGGCTGCGTCTGCGCTGCGGTGCTGCCGCTGCCACCGTCAGTCGTCGTCGCTGCGTGACTGGCCTCAGTGGCGGTGCCCTTTGCTGTTGGCAGCGGCTCCTTGTCGCTGCTCGTCGGTGTGCCAGCGGCAGCTACACCTTGCTGTTGGGCTCCTGGGGCCGCCGCGGCAACAGGCCCTGCAGAATCCTCGGCAATCGCCTCAGCCTTCTTTCCAGCCTGTTCGCCTGAAGTGCCACCGCCGCCCGAAGGGGCAGTGAGTTGAGGTGCATCCACTGCCCTTCCATCCGGTGTATTACTTGTGACAGTTGGGGCCGGCACAGCTTCTTTGTGCTCAGCTTTCTCGGTACCGCCGCCATTGCCATCACTGACCGGACTCTCCTCGACACCGTTTTCCTTCGAAAGAGCCTTCTCCAATGCCGTCTCCTGAACTGTTTCCACTGGCCCTTCAGTTGACGCTGGCGACTTTGGTGGTGTCGACGCTGCCTCTGGTTGCCCTGCCGTCGGTGCCGATGACACTACGGCATCGGACCCTGGAGTGCCGTTGCCACCCCTTGCATTGGCTTCATGCGCCTGACTGCTGGCAGCGCCACCGGGAGTTTGAGAGGCGGTCAGTAGAGCTGCTTCCGGTTCACCGCCAGCTGACGTACTGTTTGTGACATCCGCTGGGCCAACGGGTTCTCTGCCGTCGAAATTAATGCCGACGCCCAAATCATTTTTAGAATCCCCAGCCTGTGACTGTGGGAGCTCTGTTGTCGGGCCTGTCGCTGGAGATACTTCTTGTGGTGCGCCTGGCCCCTTCAGACCTCCCATTTCCCCCGAATCTGCAGGCTTTTTCTCTGTTGCATCTTCGGCGCTTTCCTCTGAGGCTCGCGGGCCTTTTCTTTCGACGCCGGCCTCTACCTTGCTGCCTGGAGGTAGTGCCGAAGGACTACTGCTCTTCTCTCCCTTGCCACCCGCCTCGCCTGTGGCAGCTGCAGTGCCCGACTGCGCAGAGGACAACTTGGCGGCTTGCGGCGTGTTCCCTTTCAGGCGATCCTGTAAGTCTTTCATTTCACCGCAATACTTATTCACCTCTTCATCAGCTTTATTCAACTCCTTTTTCAACAACTCCTTTCCAGCTTCATCGCAGAAGCGGTCCCACGCACAGCCCCCGCCGGCGGCGCAGCACAGCGCGCAGAGGGCGCACACCAACAGCGCACGGCCAGCCATCGCCACTCCTCCCACCGCAGCACACACACGCACACGCACACACACAGAGAGTCTAGTGAGGAGCAGAGTGAGAAGAGAGAAGAGAGTGAGGGGGGAGGGGGAGGGGGTGCAGGACAAGTGAGCGTATGAGCGGAGTAAAGGCGAGTCCGGCCACCAAATTCCATCGATGGAGTTGAGAGGGATTGAAAAGGTTGAACCTGACGGGAGACCACGAACAACAACAAACAAAAAAAAAACGGCAACGCCGCCGTCTCGACCACCAATGGAATAAAAATAGTGCGCAGCTTCAATTAACTCCACACCACAGCTACATCCATCCCACTTCCGCCTCTCTGTTTCTTTTTTACTTCAAGTTAATTGAAGCGGCCTCAATGCCTCTTGACCCCCACTTCCCGTCAAGGCGGCAGTTGAGGACTGTACGAGTTCCCGAGGAAGCGCAGATCGCCTTAGTGAGGCCGCAATCCTTTGACGAAGATGGGGTGAGGAGGCTTTACCAGCAGCCTGCTCCAATAGCGGAGTCGCCACCTCCACATCGCGAAGCAGACGATGAATGCTTGAAGAGCCAAAAAGTAATGTGAGAGACACTTCGTCCCAACGGCTAGCGCTTGATGAGGCGTGGCGCATTAACATCACCATCACCTCATCATTACCATATCCAAGGGACTGAAGAGCGTTAATAAGGACCGCCGTATCCATTGGGGAAAGGAACACATGCACCTGCACAAGACGATCCCCTATGTGAGCCAACACCTGTGGGACACGCAGTGAAAGTTTTGCCATTCCGGAGACAATTTGCACCAAGGGGGCAGCATCCATCTCATTCCACTGCTCAGCAGTAATAGCCAAGACAAGTCGTTTGACGCTTCGATGAAACATAAACCGTACCGAAGCAAGGCTATGAAGCATAGCCCCAATACTCGTCGCAGAGAGCTTGGAGACCATGTCGCTACTCAGAAGGTAATCCAGGCATTCCTTCAAAAGTTTATCCTCCTTGAACACTTTCTCCTCAAATACACCAAAAAAATATTTGAGGTCATCCACACGTGTGTCTTTAAGAATGGAAACATACTCCTTGGCCAATTTTGTCAGCGTTTCCGTGTCTGCGGCTCGGGTCTCGATCATCCTGTTAATGACGTTCCAACCCTCTTCTTGGAGTTCCGTTAAGGGGACTATGAAGTTGGCGGGATCGTTCTTGTTCATCCACTCTGTCGGAGGAAGTGCGGATTCCCCCTTGACACCTTCGTTTTCCACCTGCAAGAGAAATGTGTGCACGGCGGGGTACCTGTCAAGGATGTCCTCACCGAGCGCCAGGCATATCGTATTAGCCGTCTCGCTACTGTTGGCAGCCGGCGACGCTGATGCACACTTTGTGTCAAGGTAGCGTGCGACCTTCTCAAGAAACGCGGGGTCAGCGTATCCGAGCTGGTGCAAGCTCTCTGTGGCTGCAAGAACAGACTTGATCTCCATGCCATCCGCAAACCCCCGTTGCAGGTTTTCCACACAAAACCGCAGGAAGGCATCCATGTCCTCCCGCTCCAATTCGTGTTCCACTTGGTCTTCCAGAGACTGGGCCTCTGGGTCCCGTATGAGGCCGCGCACAAAACACTTCAAGGCGGCACACAGCTGAATCATAGGAATACCAGAAGCTGTCTTGGCAAACTCATTGCGAAGGTGTCGGTAGACGCGCCTATCCTTCATGTTGTGATCCCCCAACATTAAAAGGAAACGAAACGCCTGAAGCGTTGGGAAATGGATCCCCTGCTCGGCGGCTTCTCGAATGATGGCCAGACCACACTGTCGGGTTTCTTGCATCTTTACATTCAGCAGATTCGGAATAATTGAAAACGGCGGATTTTCATCCGCAACAATGTCTTCGAGTCTCTCTGTGATGTAATCCACACATAATTTTACTGCTTCTGTGAATTCCATGGGCCTTTCATGATCCAGTGGAAGCAGGCTGTCCAGGGCAAGGAATCGAGAGATGAAGGATTGAATATTAGCCACTGAAGTTTCCCCCTTAAGGCCCCCCTCCTCTACAGGCTGCGACATAATCCCCTTGACCTCCACGCCTAGAAAGGCGATCATCTCTGTGATGTCCTGCAGGAGCTCCGGTCGCAGCTGTCGAGGAAGTGACTTAAGCGCTCGGCAGAGCGTCGTCACAGTCTCTTGATCCAAGTCCTTGCCTTCAATCACACGCTCCGCCAGGCACTTGATAGCATCCGGGCTAATTGCATCGTTTTGTTGCTGGCAAATGAAGCTGAACAGCTGCACCGCACTAAACAAATCACTCTCCTCTGCAAAACGAATGGCTTCTTCTTGCAATGCGATTGCCAAAGCACTATGTCTGAATTGAAATTTGTTGACACAGGCACACACCTGTCCAATAGCTGCTGGCGTCAACACTTCGGCCAGTGATATTACTCGATCAGCTGCCGCCTGTAGGCATGAAGAGCTCTTCAATTCTGGTAGTGAAGTAAGGATGACAAATAGCACAGGAAGTTCACTCTGAGAGGCGCTTCGCACAGTGGCACTGACAAGTTCTTCCGTGGCCACTGCAAGTGAACTGGGGTGTCGACCCCACCGACTTGCATGTGCAAGGGCAATGCGGTAGTCGTGCAGATCCCACTTTTTTCCCTGAAGGCCGGAGAGGCATATCTGAATTGCCTGCTCCCATATGACGTCATCGCATCCTTGTTTTGGGAGACACTGCAGCAATACTGCAGCTCTTCGACCATGTGCTGGCTCCGCGGGGTCAATAGGGACCAGTTCCATCGCGCTGGCGATGGTGTCAGGATCCCTGCGACAGAACCGCCTGAGGGGGGCGGCGACAAACCTTAGGCCTTTGCGGTCCACAAAGGCCGATATTTCTAGCAGAGCAACCATGGTGCGCCGCACGTCATCCTTGCTACTGAAAACGGGCTTCCCGCATCGCTCCAGCAACCGTCCAAGTTTGGTTGGCAACATATACGGCCCACCAGCTGAAGTATTTCCTCATTTCGCACCCATTTTTTTTTTTTTGACAAGTACGGAGGAGGAGGAGAGAGGAGAACGTGGAGTGCGAGAGGGTATAATAGCCCCCCACGCTGGTAAACACGCAAGCGGAGCAGAGGCGGGGGAAAAAAGAAGTCAAAAAGGAAAAGCGTAAAAGAGTCACATGAGGTGTCTTCTGAAGGGCTACACAAACACACATACACAGCGATATATATATATATATATATATATATAACTGTATTCCTTTTTATTCACGTTTCGATCCGCGGTGTTGTTCCCATCATCGTTTCCTCCCCTTCCTCAAATGTTCATGCTACTGTACATAAGCGTGGCGACGGCTCCGCAGCCACCGTACTCTACGGAGGAAGCAGCGCCAGAACATCCTTGAGGTCAATTTGTTGCCCCATTCGCTTGGCCTGCAAAATGACGGCATCTCTCAACGCAGCGTTGCCACGAGCGATGCCAATGCTGACGCGAGCCACATCCACCACATCAGGGCAATCTGCCTCTCCTCCAACGCGGTAGGCGTGTTCATAGTAGAACAATGCATGTTGGTGATCATGTATGAGAGAGTACAGTTCACCAAGCAGCAGTAGACAGATGGCAGCTCCGCTCTTGTCCCCACCAAGACTACACTTTTCTAGACACTGCTCCAAGTCTGTCTGGGCCACCCGCATGTTGCCCATACGCAGATGCACAAGCCCCTGATTTCCAAGTGCAATTGTTTCCAGCAGACTACTCTCACACGTGCGTGCATTTGCCAGGGCATCTTCAAGGGCAGATTCTGCGAAATTCAGCTCCCCAAGCGCGGCATAACTGACCCCCATATTGATTTGAGACACCGCCCGTGAGTAACACCCACCAAGAGACCCTTGCCGTTTGTGATGCAGCAATGACACCTTAAACTCCCGCAGACGGTAGTAGCAGACACCCAAGATATTGTGGCAAAAAGAAATGCCGCGCACGTCACCTATCAACTCAAAGGCTGAAAGAGCTTTAGCAAAGAAGGACCGTGCGAGCTCCATATTCCCACTATTGTAATGCAGAGAAGCTGCGGTGCAAAACAGATGCGCCCCCTCTTTTGTGTTACCAGCACGAATGGCAGAATGACCCCGAGAAATGGCATCCCGCATAACTTTCAACACTACCACACTGTCGTCAACACCGGCTGCGGCAACGGCCCCTGGGCGTTGCTCCATCCAATGCACCGGCACGGACTCTGCGCCCTTCAACAGCGCCGCCACCCGCCGCGCGAGTGGGAGATTGGTCGGTGGGTCCTCAAGGGGCGGCGCGTGGAATTCCTCAGGGGTGATGAAGCGCAACGGAACGTCCAGCGCACTCTCCCTGGCACGCACAGTCTTTACTGCCAAATGAAGCACTTCATCACCATCGTACAGGCGCTGGAATGGGAGCTCCGGAATCACCCGTGCAGGTGGTCCATCACGTTCAGAGAAGCGATGTGTCCTGTTGAGTGCAATGTAACGCTCCATCGCGCGCAAGCTAGACGTATCCAGCAATCTGTGTGAAGCCGACGGGAGGATCGTGTATTTCTTCCGTGTGCTCGACACGATCGTCTTTTCTCCCTCCATTTGCTGACCTCTAGGCTCTTGCTGCGGCTCTTCACCGCCACCGCCGAAGTCAGTGCGTGCCGGTGGCACCAAACTTCTACTCTGCATCCCTCCAACAATGAGCTTTGGCGTCAGCCAGGCCGTAACACCCACCAACCTCGCGAGAAGCCTCAGCCTCAGCAAGAGATGAAGGACAGAGTCTGTGAGTGTGTGAACGAACGTGAGAGTCGAAACTCAAGGTCTTACATACCCCCAAAACAATTATGACAATAAAAAAAGCATTTAGTTTATACTTCCATATTTTTTATACACACATCAAGACAATTGTTAAAATGAAAAACATCAAGTATACATCCAATTCGCTTTATTCATAACCATACCTTTCGGACAAAACGAAGGCGCCGAAAGAGGACTTCTGCCCGCCTCGCGCGATCTCCCTCGCAGTGCACGGGTGCCTCACGCCCCGGCCCTCGAAATCCCTTCAGCGGGGCCGCCCTCCAACGCTGCACGCCCCTACGCGGCATGTGTCTCCCCGGTGTGCGCAAACCCTTGTCAACGCGGCCGCCCCAAGCCCAGATGGAAAGAGGAAAAAACGTGCCCGCAGACGCCGCGCTGTCGACAAGCATGCGGAGGGGCTGCTTGCCCTGTGCGTCCGGAACGCCTGCGGGTCACGACGCACGCTCCCTGCCGTGAAATCGCACGCG